GAAATAAATGGGCAAACCGGAAATTAAAAACGTTTGTTCATTGCAAAGAAACATTATTGTATTGTTTTCGCTTATTTAAAAAGAAACACTCTGTGCGCAGAACAGCTGAAATTGAACGTGGATAATCACGGTTTAATCTAAATATATTTAAAACAAATAGATAATTAATTCTATAAGATAAATTTTCTTTGAGTTGAAAATGCTCCGTCTATTTCGATATTTTATCGCGGGCATGAATCGAGCAGTTATCTGCAAACATATTGACGACTTGATTGCTTGGAACGCATGCTATTCTCGCAAATTTTAGAATATTGTTCTTGGTCGTGACGCCGATAAACACGGGTGCAGCTGTGCGCATTTGATTGTCAGACAGTTATGAAGAGAAGAAGGCAATGTTCTTTCAGTTTTAAGCCGTTTAAAAGATCGCAAGGTAACTCAAAAATGTTCCTATAAAAAGGCATAACTGTTTTCAGTTACTTTAGAATTAAAACGTAACTGATTTTGCAAGCTTGTTGCAGACGCTGCCGTCGTCGGTTCAAACATTTACAAAGGCAGATGGTTGAAAGCCAAAATTTAAAGAGAACTGTCACCTGGGTATTATTTTAGTGAACTAATTTTTTATATCTATAGCTATGGTTAACAAAATGTTAACAAATATGTTTTCTGACATGCCCCGCAACACTGCTTATGTCAAACTTAATTAAATCGATGTTTTCCCCCTCCCAATGTCGGATTGCCATTCAAAAGCCCGTATCTTTAAATATCTTGAGATTCAATCAAGTGTTTTGATTAATCACATATGGGCGGCTAATAGCTCAGATTATCGCCCATTAAAGACATTCAAATCGTATTTGTTACTAAAATCATGCGTAAATTTTATGATGGCAGGATCAAAGCCCAGCACGTTTAATTTGTTGGGATAAAATACGGAACCGCCCCTTATCTCATTTGTTACCGTGTTAATGATGTTAGATTGTTCCAGCGAGAGTTATTGGCGAGCAAAAGTAGATAAATCATTCGACAATTAAATGCCTCTCACAATTAATGTACTGACGGACGAATGCAATATTAAAAAATATATACGTATCTTCCGAATAATATTACATCACGTGATGATAAATTTTGATATATTGACTTTGATATATTTGTAATCGTATTAGAAACTTGAGTAAATTTTAGGTGAAAATCACACCAAAAACCATTGACGTTCAATTACATCACCGAAGTAATTTTTATTTCCTTTTTTCTCACTTTTCTTGAACTTTATTATAAAATGCACCAGACTGAAATCCATTTAAAGTAAGTTTTCAAATAATTCTGGGAATTATTGGTGTCTTGAAATGCAAATGGTTTACCCATACAAATTTCAAAATAACTTGTGTCGTGCAACCGTCGTTAATTCATTGTAAAGAATGGGAAGAAAAGTTGGCAAAATGTTATGATAAATAATGATTTTCATCTGATGCGCTATTTTCCCTTTCTAAATCCGAAATTATCTAGTGTCAGAAAATATGATTAAATAGGCAAACTAAAACACGGCGCACCCTGCGAACAGTATTCCCGTCACTTTCGCCATGGTGTCTTCATAATAATAATTACCCGTGGAAATGACTCGATCATAAGTGGTTCTATATTCGGATAGAACCATATTCATCATTTTAAATTAACCGGCTAATGACGGGCTGATGGACGATATTTGACTAATGCTGATATTTTCGTGGCAGTAATAACAATATTGGTGGTCAGCCTATTAGCAACGCCATTCCATTTATAACGCAGGAAACAATATTGGAACAGAAAAGCAGACAATTAAATACTAGTGGTTTGAATTTTAGCTATACTGATTGTTTGCAATAGTAAAACTATCAAACCAACAAAAATTGAACTGCATAATATATTTTATTCATCAAATTCGGAAGCGCATAATACATGTAACAAATTAATAGTAATTTACAGACATTAAATAAAATATATAACAAATCAGTGAGAATCATAAGAACAAATGAGTACTAAAGAATCTCTATACTATACTAAAGAGTATGTTATACTAATAAACGTATTGTAAGACAAGTATTTTAGGAAAATATTTAGTGCCCATAACAACTTGAAAAGAGTGCCGTACTTAAATATTCTAATAGATCGAAAAACAAAATCTAAATGATACGGTCCCTAGAATTACTTATCTGTCTTCAAGACGTGGTGTATTTATAATACAAACAAAATAACTCGGAAAAAATTGTCGTCTGCTAAAACGTCTTCATGAACAAATCCTGAATTCTAATTATGATGTTGTTCGACTATCTATCTTTGCTGCTGTAAAACAAATGTTTATTTTCCGTGGAGAAATCTTGTTTCACGCTAAAATGCAAACACCGTTCAAATTTATATGAGGTAATTTGTTAGTGTTTCATTTTGAAAGCAGAAGTAATTAATTTGCAGAACGTGAAATGAGTACGTAACTAGTTAACCTGATAATTAACTAGTTAATTAAGAGGTTAACTAGTTACGTAACTAGTTAACCTCTTAATTAACTAGTTAATTATCAGGTTATCTGGTGGCAGAAATATGCCACCATACATGATACATTGTTCTTACAAAATATAACTTGTACGGATTGAGTCAGATGCTTAAGAAATGTTTCAACTTGGTCGGCTTGATTGTTGATTATATTTATCATTACTCGTAATAATTATAGTTATGAACTAAAATGTTATCATAAGTAAGTGGTGATTTAGCATTTTAAAAGAGTCACAAGACAGCACGCGATAATCTTCTCGGTTCAATCTTGGTCACCAACTAATATGTCCTTTCATTATGATATTGTTTTTATTATTATTATTATTAGATCTATTATTATTATTATTATTATTTTTATTTTTTTTTTTTTTACAAAAATATTTCTTGAATAAAGCAAGAAGCAAGGACGATGATAGAATGTAACCCGACAAACATTTTCTCATTTTCGATAGATTCATTTGAATGTAAACAAAATCAAAGTAAAGATGTACAATAGAAAGAGATATACGACATGTTTACATGCGGCAGACGACGCCGGGGTCTCTTGTTGAACTAATGAGCTTAAAATGAGCATAAAATGGACCATTAACTTTTTCCGTCACGGTCCGGTGTTTTACGGTTAATTCCGTGACGGCAATCGTGTCAGTTTGTCTCCGGAGAAAATTTCAGTTATCATTTTATGATCAGGTGATGATACATAATTAGTCAGCCATTGTACTTGTTAGAAATAGAAGACGGAATGTAGTATTTACACATAGACTATACGTGACTGTAACATTAGATTTTATTGTTTTATACCACCCACAAAAACCACGACCACAACGACAATGCGAAAACTCAAAAGAAAGCCAAGTTTGTATGTATGAATTCTAGGCTTAATGAGGGTCCGTCCGCCCTTACAGCCACTGTGAGTACAAATCCCGAACAATTACATCTTTTATGTCATAGCTTTTACGAAGAAATACAGTTACTAGCAGAACACAGACACACGAAGCATGTTCATTGTACACCAACTAATTAATTTTCTGATGAGCTTTAAAAATATAATATTTAATTTACACACGAAATTATGAACCATTTCTCACTCTTCATTTTAATACAGGTACTAAAAAGACAACCATTAATTCTGATGCGCATGCGCAGAAGTATATCCCAAAGAATCGTGGCATTAAGTTTTCACGCTATTGCTTTCGAATTAACAAATTATTTTCATCAAAAAAGCGGAAATGGCAAGAGTAAAAATCATTATTCTTTTGTTATGATACCATAAAAAATGCGATGTTTCCATCGATAAAATTGTTCATATGTGAAAACCATCAATAAAATTCTTAAATTATTAAAAATGTCATTTTTCCTCAAAGTACATCGTTGATAACCGAAGCAGTCCGAAATGGCTATTAAATCGGACACCGGGCGCTATGAAGAGATTGGTTTTATAGTTTACATTAATTAGAGGACAAATATGGCTTTACTTACAATTTAGGCCCATAAAACCTATCCCAAATATATCAATTACAAGATTTAATAGTATCATCAAAACTTTAAAATCGCGGAGGTCTTATTAAAGTGTAAAAACTATTCGTTGTCGCATTCACAGATTAACTTATTAATGGAATGTGTCCGAAGATATGGTTACCTCCGACTTTATGGCCATTTAAAGTGTGTCTATAATTTGCAGAAATTTTTATTTGTTATTTTTATCAACACTTTTTGGTCTTAAATTATATTTGAATAGAGATAAAACGTTTATTTTCAATTCAAATATCTAATGATCTCCGCGTCTGACAGTTAATATTAGTTTTAACACTTCCCGTAAAATGCAGTTTATTCTGGTGTCGTTCAAAGTCGGTGTCCTTTTTAATTATCCTGTATTAGGACTTCTCTTTATTGCATTTTAATATTTACGAGCCGGGATTTAAACATGGGAACGAGTTGTTTAAGTAACTGTTATTGTCAGCACGATCTGACATTGACCACCCGTGCTCACGAAAAAGTAGAAAGATGTCAGATTAAATAATTAGCGAGTATTTTTTTTTCATCTGCATTTTGAATTCATGAGATGACACGGCCTAGAATACTTTTTTTTTCTTATTCTTATCAAATACCTCGACCATTTTGACTAGAAGTTTCTGTATGTTGCTTTACAATAAATGTGTTTTGCTAGTTTCTTTTTGTTTCCGGTTTAAGCTGCCAGTGTGAATCTTTTCCTTGTTGAGAATGTTTAGCGTAGCCTTTAAAGTTTGGCTTTTACAAATTCAGTGGCTTTTATAGAGTATAGCTCTATTTTATAGCTTTTTTTAAGTATTAAATAAAATTCAGACAATTTCTAGATCTTAAAGGTTTTCATAAATGCTACGACCTTTTTATACTGTCAAGTATATTCACAAACTTCTTGAAAACAGTCGTGTTTTTAAACTCTTCTTGGCAGAAGAAAAATTACTTTAAGAAAACTATTGTTGATTAGAATATGATTTTAATATTTTACTAAAAATATAGACATTTCAGCAGAATCTAATTTGTCAAAAATGTACACATAACATGAATCATAAGGGAGTAAATACATAAGTATATGAGCAGGAAGTTAAGTAATTTTATCGGAAAAATAAAACAAAATTAGAGGCACATTATGCGTCAAAATAAGTAAGTTTTTACTTTTTTGGAAAGCGAAATCTTGAGTTCTATAAAGTTTATATTATGATATGTGTCTTACCTAAAGATAGTAGTGCTTAATTTGAAATTATTTGTCATAAAAGTACCAAAATGTAAACAAATTTTAAGTGGTATTTTGACTTCCATGAAAAATAATAGTTCACTATAACTGTCCTAATTGCCACTAAGCAAAAGATGGTAATAAGTATGTTTTTGAAAACTATAAAAGTACACAAAAATAAAAACTTTCGAAAAATTAGATTAAAAACATTTGTAGGGTAAAAGATGTCGCTTAATACGGCAAAAATGAAAATTGATTCAGGTTCGGTCTAAACTGAGTTGTTTATAAATATCGAACAATCTTTCACGCTCACTTACAAAAAAAACCCCAACACTCCATTGTAAAATCAACAGTTACACAGTACCAAAAAAAACACAATATCATGTTATTCCAGAAAACAGGATAAATAATACACATCTTTTTAATACATGGCTTTGGTGAAAGTTTTGGAATTACCAATGCATGAAAAAGATAAATCTATATGTGGAATTCTAAAATACTGATTCAAACAGTATCTATGTGGGCGTCCTTGGAAAGTGACGAGACAGAAATGACATGTATAAATAATGAATAAATAAATAATTATATGATCTTTAGAGAAAGAAATAATATAAATAAATTTATAAAGCAAATGAATATAAGAACACAATTAATATCAAAAATGACGAATGTATAAAATTTCATTACATGTGTGTGGTTTTGATGAGTTACATATATTAAGTTAACACTTGCAATACGTTTGAATTGGATTGATGAATGTTTTCAAGACGTTATAAATCATTTGATGAATTTGATGAAATCATTGAATACCAATTGACACAATAAAATGAATATTAAAACCGTTTAACAATGTATATAATAATTTATATTTGGACAAAGGCCAGCCTTGAAATAATATTCACAAAAAAGTTCAATATAATTAGATGGCAATGTAAATAAATAATCATGTTTTGAGACTAAAGTAATGATTCAATACTGATAATATTATCATTTGCAGCACAAAATAATGACATTTGATTAATAAAATCGTGAAGTGATTATCATAAATCAATCGATGATTTATGGTTGTAAAGTCCTTCTGACTGCAACTGGCGAGCTAACGGACGCGGGTCCCCAATTTTCTTCAATTTTGCTCGTTTATTTTGGAACCATATCTTCACGTTCGCTTCATTTAGATTTAAATCGCTTGCTAGACGCTGTCGTCTGCTTTCAGATAAGTACTGGTCATTGTCGAATTCTATATTTAGCTGCTCCAGCTGGAATTCATTAAATGCCGTGCGGGTACGTGTTTGTCGTACACCATGTCTGCGCCTGCGTGCACGTGGTCCTATAAATAGATAATATGATAATGATTTAAGACTGAAATTAAATTATTTTAAACTAAATGTTATCAAACTTGAATTGCATAAATAAATACGTAAGTAAGTAAGTAAATAAATGAATAAATAAATAAATAAATAAATAAATAAATAAATAAATAAATAAATAATGAATGAATGAATGAATGAATGAATAAATGAATGAATGAACGAATGAATGAATGAATGCGAGTATAATAAAATAAAAATGTAACATGGTGTCAATATATATTCATCAAAGTCGAATAAAATATAAAAATAGACAATGAATAACTCGAAGAAGATTTAACAAATATCATACGCATTAGTATAAATATTTATTTTCAACCTTGTCATCTTGTTTAGGTTAATTCATCAAAGCCATCACAACATAAGTGGATAAATAAACAATTCAGCACACCTTCTTACTTATTTGGACTTAATCACGTTATGGTACAGTAATATGCACTCTTATTAACGTATGACGTCATAATAATTTCCCACGGCACGTAAACGTTCTATTTATGAATGAACGTTGTATTGTTGTGGTAATGAATAGAAATGTTTATGTTTTAAGTTCTCGTTACACCTTGTTTTATGTTTTACATTAATTGACGTTACGCTGGAGTGATTTTAAAATGGTTAACGTATGACGTCATATTTGTTAAACATGGTAAGAAAACAACTGCTATGAACTAACGTAAAATGCCTATGCGATGAGTACGGATCAGAAAATAGCTAAATTATTTTCTCATTTATAATAGTCATAGTATAAATTGTCAGCTTTTGTTTAAGTGGCGCCTAACGACTTCCTATGTCATACTTTGTTGTTTTTGAATGTGCAGGAACGGTTTTGAAATGGGGGGAATAGTATCCACTTTATCAGTTAAACATTGCAGTACATATAATATTTGTTAAAACACATTTACATCAATTGTAAAAAATGTTCTTTTGACTTAAAATGGTCCCTAACGAGTCTGTTTCCTAAACTTCGCAATATTGGTGTTATATCGGAATGCATGAAGTGGTTGTGATCGTAGTGGGGCATAAAATAACCTTCCTGAGTTAGTGGCAGACAATGTATCCACTAGACTACCGTCTGACTTTCTCCTTAATAAATTAAACAAACCGCTAGATAAATTAAATATTTTTTATCATCTACAAGGCGTTAGACGTGTTTTCTTCAATATTTCTATTCCTTCTGATATTTTACACATATTGTTTACAATTTTAACTAGTTTGTCTCAAGGTTCTTAGATGGCCAGAATCAAGAGTTTCATTTTCTCATTATATTATCAAACTTTCCAGTATTAATTATAAATGATTTTTTCTCAGAAATTGTCTTAACCTGATTTGCATTACGAGAACATGGACATAAGACTTGAAAGAAATATCTTTTTGTGCAAAATGAAAATGAACCCCCAAATACAAATGTAAATTGTTTCCAATTTATCAGTATACATATCACCTTTCAATAAATAAATGTTATTTCTTAAAACAAGTGGTATCCGATAAATAGAGGCTATTTGTTTGTTTTGCATGTAAGATTGAAATATAATTTCACTGAGTGAACATCAGATGCAATATTTTCACGAGTGGCGTAGCCACGAGTGAAAATATAATAGCTGGTGTTCACGAATGAAATATATCTCAATCTTATATGTAAAACAAATAAATTTTCTTTTTATTTCATGCTTTTTAAGTGATTTTAAGTATTGTTTACTGATTTTGCCGCGTATCGTCGCGCATTCTCCTTTGTGACGTCATCACATCATGACGTCACATCATCAATTTTGAAATATAGTTCTGTTAAATTTCTCTAATTTTGTTACCTTTTTAACATGATGTATGGTGACATCGACTTTCTTTTCCTAAAGAAGCAAAATTTACGTATGATGGCATTTATTTCTGCCTGTTATTCCATTTAGTTATGATTTTCTTTTCATCCGCATTCAGATATAGTTCGGCTACAGTGAAAATTATATTTTATAAATTTCACTAGTGGTTTATCAGAATATAATCATCTGATATATTACAATAAAACACTGGAAAGCATGAAATAAAACTTTTTTTTGGTGTTCATTCAACAGACTGAGATATGTAAATTTTGATTGAAAATGATGTATATGTCCCACCAGAAAACAAAAACTGACTGTTGAAAATCACGGTCAATGTTAGTACTGGAAAAAAATTGTGGTCAAAAAACGCAATTCAGCCTACCTGCAGATGGCCTGTCTGAATATCTGGTGCAGAAAACCCAAGCTGGAATCCCGGAAGTAATCTTTGGTGGCGTTTTCTTTCTCTGAACACGTAAATCTAGCGGCGCATGCGCAATCTCAGAATCGGAAGAAGAGTACCCGTCTTCGTCTGCTTGAAAGCCAACACGTGTCGACCTTGGAAGGGTAGCCAATACATTGATATCATCCTCGGCAAGGCGGTTGTATTTGTATGAGAGGTCCAAAGGTTCCGGACTCGCAGACAGTTGCATATCCGGGCTCGGACATCTTTCACATTCGTCACAGCTAGAATAAACGTCGCTATTTTCGGACAGGCCTGTACCGTCCGAATCATACTGTAAGCTTCTCCGGAAATCTTGCTGTAAAATTTGTCTCACAGAAAAGTTTGTGTATGGTGTTGGAGACGTTGAATAACTTGGAGACTCAACGCATTGTTCACAACAACATAATTTTCTAAAATTCTCAACCATTCTATTGATTTTTAGCATTGAATCTTGCTCGTGAAAGTCCATTTTTAACTGACAAATAAATTTATAAATGTATTTTAATTTGTAGAATAACGTCTTTATGAATGAAATAAACTACGCTCTACTTTTATATACTTATACCTTGGTCAGTGAAGCGTGAAACGTAACGTCAACGTGCACTCCTTAGATTAACCGAATTTAGAATTGATTACAACGTTAAACAACGTTTGTAAACAGTTTAACCACGCTTAATTTCCTTTACGTAGATTGGCGTGAGAAAAAAAAAAGAATATTGATGTTTCATCAGGTCGTAATGACATATCTCGTTTACAAATAAATAAAACTAATTGATTCATTGCATTTTCATGATATTTGGTGAAGTCAATAGGTGCAGATTTTCACAAAACACGTAGTGAGTGGTGGTTAGTGAAGAATATATATTTATAAAAAAACTAGACTCACCTGTTGTACTTTTACGTGTTATTTGCATCGGACTTTTCAGAGATATATTAATTAGGGTTTTGAATTTTTATTTCAGAAAAGGGAACATTACATCACTCACATTAGTTCATTGTTATGACAACCGCTGTCATGTTTTGCAATCCACATCTATTAATATTGCTTATCCTTTGTAAAATATATTATACACAATATGAAAGGAATGCAGAACTTTTCGCTACAGTGCCAGATTTTTCACATGTCTTTCAAATCTGTGTTATTCATTCGTTGCTTTTTTGTAAAATTCTTCTTTGTCTTGGACGGAGAGTAAAGAACGCCTCGAACAGGACTGAAACAAGGTTGGAAGACAGAAACCCGTCTGTCACCATTGCTAACAATAATGAGTCGCTTATGACACTGTAACGTTTGTTTCCGGTCGCTTATACCAACGGTAAAACACTTACCAGATCTCCGCGAGGCAACTAATGAAAAACGCACGTGTTAACTTTGTCAGAAATAAATTACAGCTTGTTCTTTCTCGGAGCGAGAAATAATGTTATTCGTGGTTACCTTTTAAAACTAGATTGACGCTTCATCTTATATGATACGCTGTCAGTGTATCTGTCTTCAAGACCTGTTATAGTCATCAATTTTCACTAGTTTTCGCGGATCTATTCCATCATGCCGGGTGCAGAGGATATGTATGGTTCCTAGTTTTTGTTTTGATGCGCTGAAAACTGGATGGAGCTCTTCATTGTGAAGGTATCACAGAACACCCAATGTGGGACGCATCCACATATTACAATGTGTTTTACTGACGGATGCATGGCTGTAATTGTAATTTGCGAAAATAATCAAAATGCCATTCTAACAGTGTAATATTCTAGTAATTGACCATGTGTAATGTAATTGTAACAAACAAATAGCTCAAATAACATACTGGCTTAATGGTTCTGAATATTGAAAAAAGAAGGACCTTTAGAAAAAAAGATGTAAAAGTATATATAAGACATTTAAATTGCATTTTTCATAATAAGTCCTCATCATGGAATGCTATTCATTTGCGATTTATTTTATAAAGAAATCTTTCGCAATAATGCACCGATTTCTAACGATGTTTTGAACAATGGCGTCTGTTAAACTAATTATGTTTTGAGTTTGTCTCTCAATTCTAATTATTTACCAGTTAATAGCATAACGACTTCTTTATTCATTAATGTTTCAGCAAATTTACACTTAGTCTGAGAAATGCACATTTAACACGTGTTTCTCGTGTTTGCCGAACATTTATGTAACCTACAACCGTTTCGCTCGCAAATAACCATTACTTCGAACAGCTCATTTGTAAAACAATGCTTGTTTTCAACACTCCCACAAAAATATCTTAAATTTTATGTCTTCAGGGTGAACAAAAAGTCGTAGAAGTATATCTATGTTAGTTAAATCTTGAACAGTTGTGTAGCGGTAACACAAAGTAGACATTCTACAAACCAACCCGTGCGCGTTCGATCTTCTGCGGCAACATGAAAAAATAACTATTTTTAAAAATGTTTACCTTAAAAGCACGTTATGCCTCAGTAACAAAAAAATGACTTCTTCAAAAATGAAAAAAATAAATTCAATAACCTTCAAATAATGGTTTTAGGTCACGTAAGATGCTAAATTTGAAATAGTTTTTCATAAAAGTAGCAAAATGTAAACAAAGTAGTATTTTTGACTTCCATACAAAATATTACATCACAACAACTGTACATAATTGCCAAATAACAACAGTAGAAAAAAAGTTGAGCATTTTGTCAGCCATATTGTTCTTCATATTTGTCGACATAGATAAGATGTCTGTATACTTGATCAGGGGTCTTTCAAATAAAATCTTTTTGAAAGACACAGACTAGAATCTATTTGAAAGACCCTGGCTTGATATATATCAAACTAATGGTTTACCTTGCCCAAATATACTTACGCTGTCATTTCATAATTTCATAACAATTATGACAGCCAGGATTCCTGGAATAGTAAATAGTATTTCTAATTAATGGGCACGTACTTTACAACAATATGTCATTTTTCTCAATGTTTACGCGGGTTTTTGAGTTGTAACTCACGTTTAGTGTGTTAATAACATGCAATGTAAACAACATGATGCAAATTCACAGCGCGTGACTGCAATTTACATTTATTTTACATCAAATTTATTAATAATAATTATTCTAAAAAAAAAGAAAAATAATTTACAGGATAAATAGTTTTGTTAGATTATGTCCAATGCACGTTGTTTAGAAGAGAAGAAGTTGTCATTAATCAAATCATTCGTAAACAATAAGTAAACTAAACAATTCAGGTGAAACATCATGGTTTTTCGTGGAAACAAAACATTCTAAATGTTTTGTTTTTTTCACTATCTTAATTATCATAGCTATAAAACTAAGTATATTTATCAAATCTCACTGTTTGAATATATTTCTCAATAAATTTACATTGCATATATTTTTTCATATTTCTATGAAATCATTGGTCTACCAAGTAAACATATTTATAATACACTGCATGTTGTAACGTCGCATTTCATTGGATATTCGTGACGTTTATATAAACTATATACACGACTGTAGTCATTTTTTGAAACAATTTCATTTTTCCTCAATTAAAAGAAAGTTTGCTGTATTATAAATTCGTCATAAAGAATTTTTGCCAGGGTATATGGCCGTAAATAAACGACTGTTTGCAATATTACCATCGCCTAGCAAACCTTTATATGGGGTCGTGTAAGCTGTCAAAAATATTTATTACTAGTATTGTACAGTAGTAATCAAATATGAAACTGCTGTATTTTATTTTATTGTGAAGATTATGGGTACAATGGTTTTCAAATCAGCAGGCGTCATGTGCCGTACGTTATTATATTTTTCTGGTCCTTCGGGATCATTGATTCCAGTGCTTTTAAGTGTTGAAAATTCAGTACCTCTCAAGCTGGTGCCAGGGGGCGTGAGGGATGTTGCATGTTTTCATTATCTCTGATGTACAAACTCAGTCAAATCGAGTCTGCACATTTCATGCAGTTTTGTTGTAATGATTGCTTCTGAGGGATCACATTTTATCCTGATTTTTTTTTCTTTTATAACTTTTGTCAATTGACTGGATATGCGTTACATTTACATTTAGTAAACATTGACATTTAGTAAACTATTGCATGTTTACATTGACATTCAGTAAACTTTTGAATTGAAACATTGACATTTAGTAAACTTTTGCATTTATGCATTGGCATTTAGTAAACTTTTGCATGACATTTAGTAAACTTTTAAATTTATATACATTAACATTTAGTAAACCTTTGCATTTATACATTGACATTTAGTAAACGGTTGCATGTATACATTGACATTTAGTAAACTTTTAAATTGAAACATTGACATTTAGTAAACTTTTGCATTTATGCATTGGCATTTAGTAAACTTTTGCATGACGTTTAGTAAACTTTTGAATTTATACATTGACATTTAGTAAACCTTTGCATTTATACATTGGCATTTAGTAAACGGTTGTATGTATACATTGACGTTTAGCAACTTTTGAATTTATGCATTGACATTTATTTAACTTTTGAATTTAGTAAACTTTTGCATGTATACATGTAAATATGAAAGTTTATAATAAAATAATTTTACCGTGGTGGAATAAGTATATATTTTATCTAGTGAACAATGTACACATTAACTGGTACATATTCAAAACATTACAAGATGAGTAGAACATAAGTCCCATATTATAAGGATTCTTTTTACAAGTGTACGTGTAGTAAAAATACTAAAAGTAATATATTATATTTTAATATAAATTAAATTGTCATTTTACTTTAAAATTTTATGTTGGCGTCATTGTGTTTGAACAGAGACACAGACATGTTATCTATGTCTCTGGTTTGAATTTATGAGTTTATATGTTAAATATTATTATAAAATACTGTTTAAATAAATATTAACCTGAATACAAGTAGTTTACTTTTCATCACTCATAAGTAAAAGAAATACTGTCTAAACTATGAAGAAATAGCATTTTAGAGTGGTTTCTAACTGACATAAAATCAGAACAGTTATTTCATATTGCTTGCATGACTTTCTTGGGTGTCGATCATTAGTTGCACACTTACTTGCAAAGGCGATGCCATAAAATTACATTTCCTCAAAATAAACTGTGTGCATTTCCGCTTTCTTCAAGAAAACGATATATATTTCCTCAAAACTAATTATCAAAAAGCAGTTTTTTTCTGTTTGTTAATCATCTTGAAGAAACAGTATTATTAAGGTTTGTGAGTATGTAAACATTCTAACAATATTACCCGCCTCATTGCCACACTCACCACTCGAACTCGCATCGTCACACATCGTTAATTATGAAGTGAGGAAAATTAACTTCCTTCACTGAAGAGTATTTACGGCTGCGATAGTCATTTAGTTCTCCGCTACCCGCCAGATCTTCCGGTGTAAAATGTATGCAAAGAAAACATCGACAATTCAGGTTCATTTAGAAAATGAGAAAATACACTTGTTACGTAATTTTGCACATGTTAAGAAAACATTTTTTGCTGATGATTTACATGTTTTGTGAATGGAGAACATGAGTTTTTGAGAGATAAAGATCAGAAGCAATTATCCCAGAATGTCGT